TTCTAGCAGCTGAGCACGGGCACTTGGAAGTTGTGTGCATGTTGCTGGAAGCTGGAGCTAACAAAGATGCAGCAAGAGCAGACGGGGCGACGGCCTTGTTCGTTGCAGCGCAGAATGGGCAGCTGGAAGTTGTGCGCTTGTTGCTGGAAGCTGGAGCTGACAAAGATGCACCAAGAGGAGATGGGGCGACGGCCTTGTTTGTTGCAGCTCATAATGGGCACTTGGAAGTTGTGCACTTGTTTCGAAGCGGGAGGTGACAAAGATGCAACAAGCCAAGCTGCGAAACGGCCTTGCTTCTAGCCACTGAGACTGCGCATTTGCAAGCTAGAGCCAAGATAGATGCGGTATTGCATAATGGGGTCACAGCTGTGTTTGCTGCTGCTGCGAATGAGCACTTGGAAATTGTCCGCCTATTACTGCAAGCGGGAGCTGACAAAGATGCGGCAGCGCATGATGGGATTATGCCTGGGTTCGTTTCGTTGCTGCTCAAGAATGGGGACTTGGAGATAGTGCGGTTGTTGCCGCAAAACTGAGCGTGGTTGCTTCACTGATTGGGAGGCCCTGCTTAATCGGTTTTTTTTAGGTGTTCAGTGTTCAATACAATTATATGCATATGCTGCATCATATGCTACTCCCCATGTACCAACGCGTTGGGAAGTACTGTATGTACATATTATGCCAACCCATCTCAAGTCAAAGACATACTCCAGAAATCTCTAGTGTGAGGATGGAGATGTCATGTCTCTTTTTGTCCATGTTCCCCGAACCGCAGTGGCGGGGGCTCGAGCCGCGCAGCCGAAAACAGGTGCGCCTTTCCGCGCGGTTGGTCCTAGGTGGACCTCGTTTGTCCTTGGAATAGGACGGCTTGCATGGTAGTCGGAGCTGCTGGAGACGGTCTTCCTTGAGGAGCTGGCGGTGACGACTGGTGGAAAGAAGGGGCGCCATGCCCCATGAGGAGATCCCATGCTGGGATGGAGACCCAGCATCCTTTGAGGCATTCGCCACCTCGTGCAAGTGGTTTGAATACAGCCTCAAGGATGCAGAGAAGAAGCTGGCAGCCCCGAAGGTCTGGCAGAAGCTGTCGGGAGTCGCGAAGAGCGTGGTGAAGCACCTCGAGCCCAAGGACTTCAGCTCCGAGAACGGCATGGAGAAGCTGCTCGCGGTCCTCCGCGAGAGTCCGCTGCAGAAGCTTCCGATCCCGGATAGCTTCTCGAGGCTCGAGAAGTGGTCGAGCTTGAAGAGAACAGCTCAGGAGACCATCCCGCAACTCCTGGTCCGGGAGGAGGAGCTGTTCGTCGAGCTTCAACAAGCACTTCAACGAGCTCGCCATGAGAGGTCCCGACACGAGGTCAGGTCGATGGGAGTTGGTGCCAGTGAACATGACCCGCCAACCTCACCTACGAGGTCTCCGAACGTGACCCGGGCCGGACTTGGCTCGGTTCGCGAGGATGTGACCTTCGAGGATGAGGAGCCCCAGGTGACGAGGCATATGATGACCTCGACGACTTCAGGCGAGACGGCCGGTTTCTTCGAGCACGAACTGAGGGGCTACAGGCTTCTCAAGGCCGCAAAGCTCAGTCAGGCCGAGAGACAACATGTTTTGACCCTGACACGGAACTCAACGCACTTCAACCAGATCCGACAGGCCCTGAGGTCTTTGTTCGCTGACGGAGCTGACCAGTCGGACGACCATGGACGGTTTCCTCGGCGCACTGCCTGGTTTGCTGAGGACTCCAACGATTGGGAGATCGAGGACGACTGGTGGCCAAGCGAGACGGACTGGTGGTCTGAGGATGCCTACTGGAATGACTGGTCGCCGACCTACTGGGAGGACGACTATGGCATTGAGTTCGAGATCGGTGAGGGTCATCAACCGGGAGAAGAAGAAGGGCACGATCCAGCACAGGAAGATCTTGAAGGCGAGAAGCGACTGGAGGAGGCCTACACCATTGCAGCGGAGGCCAACAAGACCCTGGCGGAAGCGAAGATGGCAGTCGCAAAGGTGAGAGCTGCTCGGGGCTACTACAGTCCGGTTGGGATGAAGGGCGGACCTTCTGGCAGCCTCGGAGGAAAAGGAAAAGGGAAGAGCAAGAGTCCTTTTGGTAAGGGAAAGGGAAATGGTGCTGCAAGCCTCGGACCATGCTTCATCTGTGGACAGAATGGTCATGGGTATGCCCGATGCCCTGACAGGTGGTCACGGGGATCTTCATCCGGGAGAACGTCGCCTACCTCTTCGCCCAAGGGTTCGATGAAGGGCTTCAAGGGCAAAGGAAAAGGTGGGAAGAGCCGCAAGGGCGGCAAGGCCTTCTGGGTGGACTATACCCCGGAGTATGGCTACTACGAGGTCAATGTCATGAGCCTGGCCGAGGACACGCGCCTTGGAGAGCTTTCCTTGACCAAGGCGATCATCGATTCCGGAGCCACAGAATCGGTTTCCGGCATTCGGTCCATGTCGAAGCTGATTGACTCAGGCCATTTCCTGTACGACATCACGCTGGACAATAGGCCCCGCTTCCGGTTTGGCAATGGAGAACACCAACGAGCGGTGTCCAAGTGCCACGTGACGACCAACGCCATGGGAGGAATGGAGTTCTACCTGCTGGATGGTGGCGCAGAGGACACTCCTCTGCTCATCGGGTCGCGGATTCTCCGTGCCCGTCGAGCGGTGATCTCATACCATGGAGATTACCTGGCTCACCGTGGAGGAGATGGAAGATGGTGGGTGAGCCAGCTGTGGTCCTCTCCGGGCGGACACTTGGTGATTGACTTGAGCCAGCACAAGCTTCCAATCGAGTTCCTGCTGAAGAGGTTCAACACGAATCCAGCTACCCGCTGGCCACCGGATGATGACGCCGGTGATGACTCCGACCCTGGAGATGAGCCGCCGCCTTGGAAGAAGAGACCAAGGACACATGAAGAGAAGAGGCAACACGATCCAACTGGACGGTTGCTTGCGGCAACCACTGGACATGCCCGAGACCAACCTGAAGAGCCTCCTGAACCAGAGGAGATGACAGAAGAGCGTCGAGAACAACATCTGAGAGCCGCCGCATTTCTCCATTCAGGCGAAGTTTCCAACTACACGCCTTCCATGCCAGGAAATGATGAGCCTGGCCTTCCTTCTGAACCCCTCGGGGAACCCAAAGAGCCAGAGGAAAAGGGAGAAGATGTGATCGTTCGACGTGTTCCCATAGATCTAGAAGATGAGGACCATGAGGCACTCGAGGATTCCGAGAGGCCCCTGGAGACTGTGTCGTCGTTCATCAGTGATGTGGCCGGGAATGACCATGTAGAACGTGCAGTGGAAGAACATGGAAGTCACATGCATGGAGAAGCACATGGTCAGGTGGAGCAACATGGAGAGTGTCAGTCGGTGATTTTTGACGGTCGAATACTCATGGTTGAGGAAGACTCAAACGCAGATGCTCTGTCCGACCGCCTCAGCAAGTTGGCTCGACGGCTGAACGACCTCAAGAGGACGAGCCCAACGGACAATGAAGACATGTCCTCCTTCCACGGACCAGGACCCACGCCATGTCGGGTGGCCGTGCATGAAACACCACGTTCCTGGACCTCAGCGAACCAACAAGTTCGCAGCCTGGCAGGCCTGCAATCATTGTGGCCTGAGACTCCGGTACACCACCAAGGGCACTGGCACCGGGGACAACCGGGCCATTGGACCTCCGCCAGATCATGTCGAGCTGGCGCAACTGGAACTCCAGGAAGCCTTCCAAGCGCACGAGATCACGGAGAAGATTTTCAATGGGAAGCTTCTGGAGATCCGAGGACGGACCCTGGTGGAGACACGTGGACGAGGCCGCACGACAGTTCAGGTCAGGGCGAACGAGACCTTGGGGGAAGCACTGATGGCTGGGACATCATGCACTCAGACCACGGAGAGCCCAAAGAAGACGCCGTACCCCAAGGCGATCTCGCCAGTCCGCCAGAGTCCACCGAAGCCATCGACCAAGGCGGAGAAGGAAGCCGACCTGATGGTGAAGAGCGAAGGGATCATTCCGACCCGTCGCTCGGGCAGTCCGATGAGCGTGAGCTCAAGGACCTCTTCGGTGGTGGTGGTCGCCAACGAGGCGGAGATCGAGCAGATGAAGAAGGAGCTCCAGGAAGCGAAGGCCAAGATAGAGGAACTGGTCGTGAAGAAGGAGAAGGAGGAACTGGAATCCAAGGGCGAGTGAACGCCCTGTGGAAAGCTTTGAGCGGATTGCGTCAGAGGATGCGGTCAACATGTCCTACCCGGCTGGAGGCTGACTTGGACACTAATCCTGACAACCTTCAATTGAGCCCAACACGCCAACAAACAAAGGCAGAGGGAGAGTTTTCTCTCCGACAACACGGCACTACGAGCACAACGAGCCCTACTTTTGATGGGGAACTTGACGGCACTACGAGCACAACGAGCCCTACGTTGGGTGGAGAGCCAATGGGGACTATTTGCACGAGATGCCCTACTGGCAGTTTGTGCCCATCAACGGCACGTCACATGGAGATTGTGAAGGAGATCGCTGCCACAAACCATCTGACGGAGAAGGTGGTGAGGCCCTCTCTGGCGAAGAGGCTGGCGCTGGCAGCTGCGATGACGGTGACCTTGATGGAGCCAGTGCGAGAGATGATCAATAACGTCAGCCCACAAGTTGATGTGATGGAGATAGCCTGCTCTCCCGAGTCGACACTGACGGAATCCTTTCAGCAAAAGGGATACTATGGAGAGCGCATCAACTTCAAGACTGGCTATGACCTGGACACCCGCAAGGGGACATCTCGACTGGCCGACAGGATCAAAGAGGTGGTGCCGCGCCTGGCTTGGGTATCATTTAGATGCACTCGCCTGTCCAGTCATCAGAACCTGACAGAGCGGACACCGGAGCAATGGGATGCTTTCCTCAAGCGTCGAGGACGGGACCTGTCGAGATGTGATGAGATTGCCCGTGGTCTAGAGCCAATCATCTCGTCTGGCAACGACATCGCTTGGGAATGGCCGACATCCGCAACCCCTGGTTGGAAGTCCAGAGCAATCAAGCGACTGATCCACGCCATCCAACGGCATGGGAGAAGTGTATACTGGATCCGAGTGGATGGATGCGCCTACGGGCTGGAGTGGAAAGGCATTCCTTTGCGAAAGGCCTGGACCATCCTGACCACGAGCCGAGAGTTGTGGCTGACCCTGAACAAGAGATGCGACCGCTCCCATGAACATGCAGAATGCCGAGGGCAAGCGGCAGAGGCATCAAGCTACTACCCGGTCTCGCTATGCCGGGACGTGGTCAAGGGAATGGAGCATCGATGGAGACAAGAACGAGACGATCTGACGAAGATGGTCGAGACCTATCTCCTTGAGGTTCCCGAGGGCACGGACGAAGAGACTACATCCAATCTACTTCCTGGAGAACCACAAGGCGGACATCATGGCTTCGAGCTGGAACCGCAAGTGATGGCCTTGAGCAGGAAGAGACTGGACCTGGAGACAGCCCCAACTGGGAAGCGACTGGAGGCGATCAAGCAGATGATGCTGCGAGTCCATCGAGCGAGTGGACACCCTGGCATGTCCAACTTGGTGCAGCTGCTGAAAGCTAGGGGATCACCTGGATGGGCCCTCGAGTTGGCAGCTAATCTGGAGTGCCCAGAATGCAAAGAGGCTTCCAAGCCGAAACCACGGCCTCCAGCGAGCTTGGGAGAAACACCTCCAATCTACGAGCATCTTGGAACCGATGTCTTCGAGCACGAAGAGCCGACGGGTGTGAAGCACAAATTGATCATCTGGAGGGATCGAGGATCTGGCCTGACAATGATCGACCACCTCAAGCGGTACGAGACTGGCAACTGGGAGCCAACAACAGCTGATGTGATCAAGTCAATGACGAGATGGCTGATGACATACCCCTCTCCGAAATGGACGGTGGCCGACAGTGCTAGGTACTACACCAGCCAGGAGTTTATGAACTTCCTCAACAGGTCTGGTGTGGGGCTGACCATCGCACCAGCAGAAGCACACTGGCTTATGGGCTTCGAGGAAAGCGCAATTGGCCTGGCTAAGAGGACAGTTGAAAGACTGATCAAAGAAGGGAGCTCTTTGGACATCCCTGAGCTGTACCAGATGGCAGCAGCGGCCATGAACAGCCACATCGGGCCAAGCGGATTCAGTGCTTACCAATGGGTGTTTGGAGCTGGAGGAGGAGTACTTGACGAACAACAATTGCTCCAGGGCATTGATCCGAGCCGCGCTTTCGACAAACTGGTGAAGGAGAGAGAGAAAGCCAAGATAGCTTTTGAGCGAGAACGAGCTCGAGAGAGGTTCAGCAAGCTGGCAAATGCCATTGGGAGAAAGGCGAGCCAGTACCAAGCTGGTCAACTGGTGATGGTGTGGCGACAGCGAGTCCGCCCTGGCAAGGTGAAGGGCAACTGGACTGGACCCCTACGCCTAGTTCTCATGGAAGGCTCGACAGCCTGGCTGATTTCAGGAGCCACTCTCATCCGGGCGAAGGTGAACCAGATCCGCCCGACGTCGAAGCGTGAAGAGTTGGATGCCAAGCTGGAAGGAGCGGCCATCTACAAGAACCCAGTGATGCTCGAGGCCCTCATGAGAAGCTTCCAAGGCCGATACTACATGGATGTGTCTGGCGATGTCCCAAGCGAAGAGCTACAACGAGGAGATCTCTCAGCTTCTACTCCACTGGTTGAGCCACGGGGACAACACGGGAGCGACTCTTGGGCGGTGAAATGGGAAGATGGCAAACGCTTTTTGGTCCGACTTCACGAACTTCCTAGGTTGGCACTTTTCAACCCTGGACGAGCAACGAACTGCCCCGTGAAGTTGGAGGAGTTGACTGGTCTCAGGAAGACTATTGTCCGTCCGGCTCATGGAGGTGATGAGGTGACCATCCACGACACCGTTGAAGAGAGCCGGAACCTCCAGGACAGATGGAAGGGTGAGACTTGGTTTGAGCTGATCCCTGAGGCATCTGTGAAGCGGCAGCGAGTGAAGAGGTCCAAGGGAGAGAAACGAAAGGCCGACGAAGACCCAACGAAGGAGAAGAAGAATGACAAGACCATGGAGGACGAAAGGGAGATGCCGGAAGGAGCAACCTCATCATCGTCGGGACTGAAGGCAGCTCTTCAAGATCGAGGACCTGATGTGGTGGACAACCTACCTCTTCGAGGAGTATCAGGTGCTAATCGATGTCCGGTACCCGAATGCGATCTTCCCGGAGGCCATGGTGGACACCATCAAGACCGGGAAGGACAAACTTTCCTCTACGACCTCTATGAAGGAAGACGGGCGCCGACAGGAGCTGAAGTCCCGATTCCTGAGGAATCCTCGTCATCTTCTACATCTTCGATCTCTGAGCCGGAAGACCTGTCTTCTGGAAGCGAAGAATTGATGGTCGTCGATAACGACTCCAAGCCTGCCGGAAAGCTGAAGGAGAAGCCCAAGAAGAAAGCTCAGGAAGAGACGTTCCTTGCATGCTCCTTTGAGGTGGACGCTCATGACTTCGAATGGCTGAGCAAGAACAAGGGCCGCAAGAGAGGAGTCGTGTGGCTGAGCAAGAAGATGTCAGAAAAAGGAAAAGAAGTTGAATGGCATCGGCTTCCGATGCATGAGAAAAAGGAGTATGACCTGGCAATGGCAAAGGAGCTCTCTCAGGTGGCCATCAGCAAAGCGTTGCGGAACCTCACCATCCAAGAGGAGATGAAGGTGACCCCAGAGCAGTTGATGAAGATGCGCTGGGTGCTGACGCGCAAAGGCGATGGGACCGCCAAAGCCCGTCTGGTGGTGCTCGGATTCATGGCACACAACTTGACAGAAGTGGCCACGGCTTCGCCAACCATGTCCAAGGTTGGCCGCAACTTGATTCTCGCGTTGGCCGCCGGGCTGAAGTTCAAGGTCAAGGCCGGCGATGTGACGAGTGCCTTTCTGCAAACAGGCATTAGCCTGGAGGATGAGGAGCTGAATGTGCTGGCGCCGCCAGAACTGAGCGCCATGTTCGGCGCGACAGGCGGGCAACAAAAGGCCCTGAGGGTGCGAGAAGCTTTCTACGGCTTGGCACACGCTCCGAGAAAATGGTGGGAGCGTTGCGTGAAGACCATGGTGGAGGCCGGATGGCGACAGCTACTGAGCGACAAGTGTTGCTTCGCACTCTATGAGCCGGAGTCCATGAACGGAGACCAAAACCCACAACTGGTTGGTCTTGCAGGTTTGCACGTTGATGATTTCCTGCTCTGCGGACTGGAGACCTCTGAACACTTTCTGTCACGGGAACGCCTTCTCAACGAGGCATTCCGATGGGGACGATGGAATGAGGAGAACTTTGAGTTCGCTGGATGCACCATCAT